GGATTTTTATAAATCCCCTGGCAGTAGCATGTCCTGGTAATTATGATGAAGAGCATCGGTCAGTGTTGATTCAGCAGTCCCTACCCTAGCAAATATTTCATTCACAGTTCTCTGGCCCACTTCTGCGTTTCTAGTAATTAGAGGTCTTTACTATGCTTCTTTACTTGCTTAGTGTCTTATTTTTTAAAAGCATGTTTGATTAAGACTTAGAATGCAAAGATATTTCAGATTGGCCTCCTTTTAGAACTGTTTCTTTCTCACGGTATTCACAAATTTTGAATCAAGAGGCAAGAAAATAATTTAAAATTTTGTTCCTTTTAATGGCAATCAGCAACTCCTGTTTGCTGTGTAATTGTCATGTGCAAAAGTAAAACTTGAATTCTCCCACCTACCCTGTATACTTAATTGTTCCTCATTCCTGGAATAAGCAATTACTTTGAAATCATGAGAATTTTTTTTTCATATGGTAAGTATAAAATTGGGACATTACTAATTGTGGTTAGGAATTATAGGTGCACATAATCCTGTTTAATATTTTTCCAACTTTGCAGAAACCTGTTTTAAAAGTAAGCCTCAGTAACAAAGAGAAGAGAAAGACTATAGCTTCCCCCAGGCAATTACAAAATAAAGGTCAGTGTATAAATTGAAAATAGCCATAAAAAAACATTCTTTATGAAATAAAATTGTAGACACTCCAAATATAACAAATATATCCATTCATTTTCAAATCAAATGCACTTTTAAAATACTTTTCTATATAATACTTAAGTATAACAATAAAAATTGAGAAGAAAGAGCCAACTGATAGATTGTTAGAAATATGGAATGGTTCAAAATATTAATGTAATGCTAAGGGTGACTGGGTAACAAATGGTACATTTGCTCGTTGCTCAACCTGACATAATTAATATTCCAGGTCATGCTTAAGTTCCCATGATGGAGGGTCTGAAGTGGGGAATTCAAGAAAAATATATATCTATTATATAACTCATTGCCTTTTTTTTTTTTCCTTTTGACGAGTCAGAATCATAGCCTTTAAAAAAAAAATCAGTGCTTTCACACCTCATTTGCCGTACTCACCACTGGGCCAGCAGTCAGCAGCCAGGCTGGATGCAAGGAGGTCAGTAAGAAGCTATTAGCAGAGTCCTCTCCTGAGATTTCTTGGTTCTTATTGAGTTGAATGTTAGCATGACAGTACTGCAAATAACTCAGTTGTAGGTTTTTTCTTTCTTTTTTTTTTTAAACAGTTAGCACAGATTTCCCCATAGTGTTGGTCACTCCAGAAAATTATTGCTGAAAATGAAGTCCCAAAAGCTAGCTTGGCAGTAGCCCTTCAAAGTTGTGAGAAATGGGAAAACTGAAAAATATGTCATAGGCCCTTAGGGTTAACTCTGTCTTTTGTGACTCATAGTAGTAATATTTTAAAAAATCAACAACAAACCATTATTCATAAGTGGCTTACAAATTATGAAGTATAAAATTAAGACAATAATAAGTTAAGGTTGTTTTATTTACTTGAAGAAATAATAAGTAAATGAATACTGTATCAATATAAATAAACAAGATATTTGCTTGCTGTAGAGATTGAGGGAGTGCTGGACTGTTTTTATTGACATAAGTTAGCAAATGTGTTTAATTTCTAAAATACTGATGCCTTGAAGACTTTAAATGATACATTTGAAATTCAATTAAAACATATTTTCTATCTGTATTTGATTTAAATTGCAAAGAGAATACACATGAGGAGGTCTCCATATAGGTTGCAAAATATAATTTAAGAAAGCTATCATGTCTACCAATCCATTTGCATTTCCCATCTAGCCTATGTATACACATGCATGCAAATGTGGAAGGAGATCAAAGAAGATTCCTAATGGGGTAAAGTTAATAGCTGGTAGCAGTTATTCAGGTAGATAGATATTTTTAAGTGATAAATTATAATCTACTTAAATTATATGTATCTTAGCATTTTAATCTATAAGGTTGTGGAAATTTTTATAATAGACTAACAAGACTAGTTAATTAGGTCATCACTAATCAGGATGGCATTGTCTTATATATTTTATATATACTACATATATTTAGTTATATTTTATGTCAGAATACTCTTTTAATATAACATTAATTGTTTTTTATTATTACAATAGATACATTTTCATCTTAGCAAATCATCCTAAAAATCATCATAAAAATTATCCACTTAAAAATTATAATAGCCTACTGAAAGCTATTATGAATATATACATGTATATATTTTCTTTTATTAACATTCATTTAAAATATCTATGTATCTACCTTGTCTATATTTGCTGTTATAGTGAGAGGATGTCAGTACAGCATTAAAAATGGTTTACATAACTGCCTTCAACATTTTTCAGCACAGTATTTTTTCTTGTATCAATAGTATTAGGGAATAGATCACAAAGAAGAGCCAATTCAAAAACATTTTTAGATATGTAAATGTATTTACATTAACTTTTTCATATCAAATGAAATTTAGTTCCCAATGATAAAATAGGAAAAGTTGAATTGGAGGATATTCAAGTGGTTTTATGATAATTTAGTTCTAGATCACAGTGGTTTGAAAGCAATTGAAACTGATGTGTTAAGGAGAAAAAGGGTATAATATATAAGTTTTTTGAAAGAGTCAATAAGATTTTGAAATAAATCTCAAACTTTTTACTAAGATATTTATGTGACTTTGGAAAGCAAAAGTAAAATAGAGGTTTCCATGGACCTTTCTGAGCTGTGCATTGTTATTCTCAATGAGCATTTAGCATTCATTTATTGAGTGTCTGCTATGTGCCAAGCACTCTGCTAGGCCCTAGGGTTACAAAAGTACCTGAAACAGAGTCCTGTGCCCCAGCCGCTTGCTTGTAGAAGACTGATGCACACACAGATAATTATGAAACAATGTGATGGGGGAATAGATATCCCCAGGTTATTAAGGAAGCATTTGGGATAGGACACTGAATCCTGCCTGGGTAGGTATTTGGTATGGTTAGCACTTACTAAGTTACACTGGAAATATAAAATTTTCTTGGATACTTTTTCTAAGACAGCTATCCTATTTAATCTTAATACTTTGGAACTGCAGATTTCATGAGGTAAATCTAACAACCAGGAATGTTTATGGAGGTGATGATGGCATAACAGAAAAGCACATTTTTAGTACGAACAGGTAGATTTAATTGATACATTTTTCATCTAGTCCAGAATGTCTACAGAACAACCAAACAAGTCATACTGTCCTTTCAGATGTTACTTTTTCTAATAAATATGCATTTGTGTGTATCATACTTACATATACAGATATAGCTGTATATATTTTGATTTTCAGGGTACTTCAAACAGCTCATGGAAAGATTTGTATTATCTTTTAGTTCTATTTTTTCACAAACTTTTTGAAGTACCTGCTCTTGTTCTATGGAACCATGTATCAAAGATTGGTATCAGATAACATCAAAATATGGATCTATACGGTTTGCGTACTTAAACAATATTAGGTTTTCAAAAAATGGACATCAGTTAAACTTGAATTTAACATTTTCACACATACATCTATTGAACCTTGTTTGCATGGCAGGTGCTATGATAAATCAGTCTTGACCATTTTGATGCAGTATGTGACAAAGTTAATAATAGAATAGCAAAAATAAAGTGACACTACAGAGACATAGCACCTAACCACGTGAGTACAACTCATTGAAAACAGGATGTTAGGCTTCTGGTCAAGATGGCAGAATAGACAGTCCCCAGCGTCACTCTCTCTCACAAGTCAATCAATATACAAATATTGAAAAGCAACAACAGCCAAGCTGGGGCCGCTAGAGCTCAGAGGAAGAGGAGGAGAGACCTACGGAGTGCATGAAGGCAGGAGAAGCCATGATGAGAGAAAGAAAGAACTGCTCCGACTGTTTCGAGCCCTGGCCTCCTCCAGGCTGGCCCTGGTGAGTGCACGGAGCAAGAGATGGCAAAAGCCACAGCTGTCCTGTTCATACGAAGTTGCTTGGAGGCTGCAGGGGAGAAGGGGGGGGCCTTGGTGGCCCCCAGGTCAGCAAGACCAATAACAGGTTCCTTGTGGACCCACATAGGAGTGAGGAGCCACAACAGCTGAAAAAAGGAGCCATTCAGAGGCTGGTGAGTCATCACAAGGGACCAGAACATGGCCTACCCATGGGAAGTGTTTGGAGCACGGGCAGTGGGGCAGACAGGCCCACCAGGGGAACACTGGGGCACAGCAAGGACAGTTGATCTGCCCCCAATCAGCGAAGGACCACTCAGAGGAGACTGGTCAGGAATATAGAACTGCATGGGGTTCAGTTTGCTGAAAATCAGGCCCAGACCAGAGTTTCCACACAGCCCAATGTACCAGACCTCACAAGACCTGGAAGTATATATAAGGTCAACCATTAACACCTGAGCTGCACAAAAAGCCTTCCCCAGGGAATCAGCAGCAAAACAGCAATTTAGTTATTAATGTACAGAACATGAAATTGCTGCCATTGGAGTGTTTATCTAATAATAATTGAAATAGTCAATCAAATATTTGTTGCATACATACTTTGTACCTGAAACTGATTCAAATATTTTGTTTGACTTCCTGTGAGTGGATGTATGCCTTATAGATGTGACTCAATATACATGGTATATGGTTACAATAAAAAAATGGATGGCTAAGGTCCCTCTGTTATTTTTTTCTTAAAGACAATTATATAAAAATGCCATGTGTGGCAGACAGAAACTATAGCTCAATACTTTTCAACACATTTAGGAATCAATCCTGAAAGAGGCTGAAATTGTTAGTCTAGAGTGGAGACAAAGTATGGGTATTTTATAAGATCTCCTAAGGTGAATCTGAAGTCCACCTTTAGTTAAGAACCAGAGTTATAGTTTAAAATATTCCTTAAACATGAAAAATCTCAGCGTACAACTTTGTCTTCTTTTTGTTTCACATGAACATTAGAGGTAAATATCAAAATTGCTTTCTTTTTGTTTAGATTCCAGGTATATATAATTCACCATTCAGAAAAGAGCCTGACCCAAGGGAGCTGCAGTTAAAGAAGGCCAAGCCTCTCATACACCGAAGACCTAAAGTTATGCAGAAGTCCTGCACAAGCCTTGTGGACTGGCTAGCTTGTACGAGTGCCCGTTCTTTTCCGAGGTCTGAAATTCTGCCACCTATTAATAGGAAGCAATGTCAGGTACGAATTAGTGTTATAAGAATTGTGTCATTAATTTTATCCTTGCTATTTTTTTCAATGTTTATACTATGGGAAAACATGCATAATGTAAAATTTACTATCTTAGCCATTTTTAAGTATTCAGTGCAGTGGTATTAAGTTTATTCATACTGTTGTCTAACCATCACCACCATCCATCTCCAGAACTCTTTTCATCTTTTGAAATTGTAACTCTGTACCCATCAAACAACTCTCCTTTTCTCTTGCTTCCATCCCCTGACATGGCTTATTTCACTTATCATAATGTCATTGAGGTTCTTCCATGTTATGGCATATCTCTGAACTTCCTTCCTTTTTAGGGCTGAATAATATTCCATTGTATGTGCATATCATATTCCGCTTATTCATTCATCTGTCAATGGATACTTAGCTATTGTGAGTAATGCTACTATGAATGTGTGTATACAAATATCTCTGTGAGACCCAGCTTTCATTTCTTTTGGGTATATACCCTGAAGTGGAATTGCCAGACTATGTGGTCATTAATTCTATTTTTGTTTTTCTGAGGAACTGCCATATTGTTTCCCGTAGTGGTTGTACCATTTTCCATTCCCATCAGCAGTGCACAAGGGGTTGAATTTCTCCACATCCTCCGCAACACTTATTATTATCTGTCTTTTTGATAGTAGCCATTCTAATGGGTATGAGGTGATATCCAGTAGTTTTGATTTGCATTTCTCTAATGATTAGTGATGTTGCAATTTTTTTTATGTGCTTGTTGGCCATTTATGTATCTTCTTTGCAGAAATGTCTATTCAAGTCTTTCCCCTATTTTTAATTAGATTGTTTGCATTTTTTTGTTGAGTTTTAGGAGTTCTCTATATATTCTGGATATTAATACTGTGTCACATTCATGATTTGCAATTATTTTCTGCCATTCTATGAGTTACTTTTTTACTCCATTGATAGTGTTTTATTGTTTAAAAAATGTATATTGTTGTTTTGTTTTGTCTTTGTGACAAGAGGAAAATTATTTTTACAAAATCTAATTTTAAATAATAAATATAAGTTACTTTAAAAATATGCTAAGTAAGCAAGTGCTTCTTTGGTATTGAATTTCGTTATATTGAATATGAAGTTAAAACAAGGACTTTTGCCTAGAATCTAGACTTTCCCATGTAAAAATATTGTTATAGCACCATTTGATATAATCAGTTGTTGCTTGAAAAATCTTTATGTATTACTAAATTTATTTAATTTAACCTCTCATCTAATTCTTTATATCTTTATATACCATTTTAATCATAACTTGGCCTTGAGTAACTTAAAAATTAGAGACAGCCAAAAACAAAGCAAGACTCATCGCAAAGAAAGGAAATCTTCACTATAACTGGATTGTAATAGAACAGGGTTGGCAAATGACTTCCTGGGGTTTGTAAAGGGTGGAGTGGAGTGGGGTGAGTGATGTTCATCAATGTCCTAAAAGTCCCAGAGGGCAACAGTTCTATCATCCTCATCAATATTTAAGCTGCAGAAGACAACTGCCACCAGGTAGTATCAACCTGAAATTAGGTTATATTTGGCTCATACAGACTCCCAGAACTCCTGGCCATTAGCTTCCTGTACAGGCGTGCCACTGTATATCTACTGTATAATACACTACTCCAAAACCTAATGGCTTAAACAAACATACATTTGTTACTTCACACTTTCTGTGAGTCAGCATTTTGGGTACAGGATTGGTGAGTGCCTCGGACTCAAGTCCTCTCATGACATTACAGATGAGGTGTTGGCCCAGGCTGCGATCTCATATTAAGGCTTAGCTGGGGGGTGGGGGTAGGAGGGTGGGAAGATCCTCTTGGTTTGTTTCCTCACTCCCATAGGTGATGGTTGTCATGTCTCAGCCCTTCCTCACACTGGCCTCTCCACAGAGTTGCCTCACAACATGGCAGCTGGCTTCCCTCAGGGTAAGTGGTCCTACAGAGAGGGAGAGAGAGCTCTCAAAACAGAAGCCACAGGCTTCCGAGAGCCAGAAGTGACAAGCCATCACTTCTACCATATATTATTTGATAGAAACAAGTTGGTTTATTCCACACCGAAGGGCAAGAGATTATGAATACCAGCAGGCAGGGATCATTGGGGGTCATTTTAGATGCTGCCTTTCAAACCCCCAACCATTGAATTAATCTTCCAATAAGACAACCCTGTATTCTGTGCCATTGAAAACTTTCCCACTTTGCTGTAATTGTTTGTAATATGCTGTGTTTCCTTCTCTATAATTATGTCCTTAATTTCCTTTATTTGTATTTTTTCTTTTTGCTTTCTCAAAACTACTTATTGATAACTAGTACTATTAACTGATGTTTTACACTACACTATATTATAGAAGGAGCTGTAAAAGTAATTGAAAATCTATAAAATCAATTTTTCCCCTGGACTACTTTCTCTTTTTCCTCGTCCCTGATTCATTTCCTATAAAATTCTGTTTATAGATGGCTGGTTAGTCAGTTGGTTACAGCACAGCCTTCTAACACTAAGGTCATGGGTTTGGATCCCCATACAGGCTAGCTGCAAAAAAAACAAAAAAAAAAATCTGTTTATATTAGTATTCTTAATTATCTTTAAGCAAAACTCTTTACCCAAAGAAGACATAGAGGTTGACAATTCTTTCTTTTTCTGGAATGGGGTGACAAGCAGGAGAGAGTTAGTTGAGCAAGGGGACAAAAGATGATATTGGGAAAATTTTCAGTTCATTTGGGGACATATCTTCAGAGTATAATTTCATTATTCCTTTTAAAATAAAAGTTATACCAGTATTCTATTGAAAGCATTTAATAGAGTAGTTTTAAATACAAACATACAGTGAATTTTATATTATGAATAACTGAATTTTTACCAGTTTGAATTATGCTCATTACTATTTCTTCTATTAGTTCAAGTAATGGTTTTATATATCATCAGAGCAGGAAATTAAATTTATTAGCTATTCTATAAAGAAAATAAAAGCTCTAGCATTTCCATGGCGTGTATGTTAAGTGTTCAATGTGTTAAGTGTACTAAGTGCTTAAATGTATTAATGTATTAAAGATAAGGTATCAGATATAAAATTGCATATTTGAATTTTTAATAACTCGTATTGCATGCTACATTCATTGAGATAGCCATTGGTGCTACATGAAATTCATAGAGTAATTTTGCATGCAACTTTTCAGAAAATGTGAAAATTATATGGCATGAATAAAATAAGGGTATGTAAATTTTCTAAGCTGGAAACACCTACAACCACACTGTACAATATTTACATTAACCATTAAACATTTAATATTATTTTATAGATGTTTAGAATGTTTTCACATTTGCTTTGCTGCTTTGCTTTTATTATATTTTTATGATGTGGCTTCTTCTATACTTGCTTGTATTCACTCTTCATCTCTATTACTACACCTTTCTCAATACAACCATTTTTATTCCTCACACAGCTTTGCCTCTCCATACCATTCTATGTACACATTTACATATGTACATAAACGTATTTAGTATATATGGAATATATAGATGAAAGATATATAAGATATATAAAATATATATGGGCGATGTATATGTATATGAAAAATATGTATGTATAAATGGTGTCTATATATTCATATGGAAGATATATGAGGAGTCAAAAGTTCATGGAAGTACTTGTATTACCTTTCAACTCTATTCTTCCACAAACTTGTTGAAGTATCCTCATATATGCAATTATGGTATATATATGAAAACATACAGAAAAAAAGTAGAAAAAATCTCTGTGTGTGTGTGTGTGTGTGTGTGTGTATGGAGAGAGAGAAATATATGTGTTTATGCAGTGAATAAGTATAAATATATGGAGGAATTCATAAATATCTATTTGTACATTTATACATTTACATATATATGCACACACATATACTCCTGAATAACATTTATCTAGCATACCACAAAATACGGATCCTGCTAATATATATTATTTTCCTTTCCTTCTCCCTTCTTTTCTTTTTAATTCTCTTCTCTCCTTTTCTCTTCTGTTATTTCTCTTCTATCTCTTCTTTTCTTTTTTTCTTTTCTTTCCTTCTTTCTCTATATCCTGCCTTCCCTACCTCATGTTTCTTCTCCTCTCCTTCTGGCCACGTCTTTTCTTCCATCCTGTCCTTCTTTCTCTTATCTTTCTTCTTATTCTGTCTTTCCCTATCTTTTCATCCAACTTCTTTTGCTTCCTTTGCATCCTTCCTTCCTTTTTTCATGATTTTTTTCTTTCCTTTCTTTTTTCCTCTTTCCCTTTTTTCTTTCCTTCCTATCACAGAATAGGATTGTTTTATGTTGTCTTTATTGACTGAGCCACATTTCCTGTATGTTGCCCAATAATAAAAAGCATATACATCATTGGGGACATTTAAGATTATGCCCAAATGATAATATTTGTACTCTGATCAAAGTATCTTTACTTGCCAGGTGAATTTCCTAAGTGTATGGGACAATTATAGCAAGTTTTTATAAATTACTTTATTATTATTGAAATTTTTTTTTTTTTTTTTGTCCTTTTCGAGACCGGCCGCACCATGCTCAGCCAGTGAGCGCACCGGCCAAACCCTATATAGGATCCGAGCCCGCGGCGGGAGCGCTCCTGCGCTCCCAGTGCCGCACTCTCCTGAGTGCGCCACGGGCTCGGCCCATTATTATTGAAATTTTGAGAAAAGCTTAGAAATTCAAGGTGACTGTAAAGTAACATAGCCTATTAAAAATATAGAAAAACATAAGCATATTTGACTCTCATAACCAGGATATGGGTGTAGGCAAGGTAAGCCAAATATTGGAAAACCATAGCTAAGAGATTAAGAAGACCTGTAAGGTCAGGTTGGGTCCTGGATGGTCTAAGCATTCTAGGGATTAATATTTGGAAACGAGTGCAGTGAGCAGTGTATTAGTCCATTTCTGTTGCTTATAACAAAATACCTGCAACTGGGTAATTTATAGGAAAAGAAAATTTATTGCTTATAGTT